CCCAGGCTGGCCTTGAACTCACAGAGATCCGCCTGGCTCTGCCTCCCGAGTGCTGGGATTAAAGGCGTGCGCCACCACCGCCCGGCTCAAAGTTATTCTTGAGGTCAAGTTTTCCAGTAAGAAGAGCATTTCTGGCTGGCTGGCATAGGGAGAAGCCCTGTGAGGGCAGAGATGACTGACCTGACGTTGCAGCTAATCATTCCTCCTATTATAACTGCTGTTTGTGGCTCACTCCTCTGAGTTCTCAAAGCACTATCATACATCTTTATAGTATTTTTTGCATGAAAGACTGTTGTACTTCCCAAGCCTCTGTGCTGAATCTTCCTGTTCTGTGCCCTTTGTGTCCTCAGTGCTGGGTGAAAAACAGATGTGCTGTCAATGGACAGGCCACAGGGCTGGCTGGAGCTTTAGGAGCTTTAGGATGAGGTCTGTGATCTCAGTTCAAGTTGAAAATTTTACAAGGTTGCTTGATTCTGAATGCTTTACAAAGAAGTCTTGATAGTGTTTTTGGGTTGAAAACCAGTGGCAGCCTTCTTCCTGATGTTCCTCTAAGCAATAATTATGTGTTTCAAGGGCCTAGAACATATTATTTTTCTCTGGAACTCAGTAAGGATCCTTTTGAATGTAGAAAAACATATACTACATGCACACACATATTTATATAATCTCTGTCCATTTGTTGTAGAAGAATTACTGTGAATGAGTGATTTATAGAGAGTAGGCTTCTTGAGAATAGGTCCAGAAGCAGGAAATTTCAAGATTTGACAGCTGCTATATTTGGCTAGTGCCTGGTACTGCATCAAAACATGGTGGATGGCACTACATAATGGAGTCTGTCTGAGAGCCATGAGTAACTGCTTTATGACAGTTTGCTTTCTTGAGAACTAGTTAGTTCCTGCAAGAAATAAAAATAGCTAATACCTCTTAAAGGCCCATCTTGTTGCTATTTTGGCAACCAAATTTTAGCATGAGTCTTAGGTTTGACAAACTACACACACACACACACACACACACACACACACACACACACACACACACACTGTTCTAAAGCTGGTTTGTGAAAAGGAGTTTGCTTAACACTGAAATCCAGGCATCAGTCCCTAGACAAACTCAACCAGCAAAGTGCCAACTTCCCCAGTGCATTTTTCTCATCACAGGATGGCCACTGGCCTCAGAATTTTCAATCTGTCAACTTTCTAGGAAATTTTCAAGGAGAGTATTGGTCATGTAACTATTGGGTGATTTTCCAACATAAGCACAAATCTTTCCCTCCTTTTCCCACAACTCTATTGAAAAGCCTTGCTTGGATCATGCAGATATGGGAACTTCATTCTAATAGCTGACTTTTGAAGAGTGGCTGGAGACAAATATCAAAAACGTATAGTATATTACAGGTAATGTTCAAGATAATGTACATGCATTTAAAATTGAAACCTTATAACCCCTGTGAAAAGCTTGTATGTTTTAAGAAGGAGAAACCAATACTGATTATAAGTTTCTCAAATCAGAGCTAATAAATTAGTAGACAAATAATTAACTCTCTGTGGATTGTTTCTGGTATTATTATTATTACTATTATTATTTTATCAATTTTAAACTGTCTTCATCAACTAACTAGAGTTTCAGTACATTTTCTAGCTAAAGGATATTTGATTTTTTGCTTATTTATATTGCTTTTATCTTTCATTCTTTCTGTTTATCGGTGCTATGATTTGAATGTATCCCCACTTCATGTGTTGAAGATCTCACTACCAATGGAGTGTGGACCTAGTAAAAGTTAACTATGTCATTAGGGAAAGATAAATTAATGAATAGATAGATGAATGAATATATTAGTCACCATCTCAGAAGCAGATTTTTTATTGAGGGAGTAGATTTATTATAAAACTGAATTTGAATGAAGATTGGACTCTAATGCAAATATTAGGTGTTGTGACCCCCCCCCCCCTTTTCTAACTTGACACAAACCTAAACATACCTTGGAAAAGAGAATCTCAGTTAAGGAATTGTTTTCATCAGATTGACCTGTGGGCATCTCTATGGGGACATTTTCTTGATGGGTATGGGAAGGATCAGACCACTGTGAGCAGTATCATCCCTGAGCAGATGAGCATGGGCTGTATGCAAAAGATAGCTAAGCAAACCAGAGGGTGAGCCAGTAAGCTCCCTCCATGGTTTCTGCTTCAGTTCCTGCCTCTAGCTTCTAGCCTTGAGTTCCTGCCATGACTTCCTTCAGTGATGGATTGTAACTTGAAAGTTAAACTTCAGTGACCTGAATTCCTTTAAGAAGGCTCCACCTCCTAATAGTTTAAGCACCTCCCAATAATGCTACAGGCTGGTAACTAAACCTTTAACACATAGCCATTTGGGGGACACTCTAGCTCCAAAGTATTGCAGGTAATCAGTGACAGAATCATCACTCTCATTTAGAGAGGAAGAATGGCTTTGGGAGATAAACAATGTTTCTAAGTAGACCCAGAAAAGGGCTCTTCAGAGTATCCAGCTCTGGCTTTCCAACTTTCTGAGGGATGGGTGCAGTGGCTCTGTCCTTTCTTGTTGGATTATATTATAGAATAACCTGATACTATGTTGTACTTAATAATCTATGCCTCTGCAAGGGAAGTTTACTAGGCTACACGTGTTCATGATATTTTAAAAAACAGTTTTCCTGCTTCTTTTGATGTTAGAATGGCAGGTATTAATTCTCCCTATCCGTAGTGCCTTTGCTTGGAGAGAAACAACCAGCTCTTTATTTTAAATTTGTTGAACATTTTATGATGCAAACCTGAATTCCTAACTGTGTGGCAGGGACCTGAATTCCTAGTAGATGATGATTGGTGCCAATTAGGGCTTTCAACTTGTATACCATGCTTGGCCCTGTTTGGTGGTTGAAATGGAGTCATTCTATGTAATGCAATGCTGACCTAGGTATGGATTTTCTTGCAAAAATATTGAGGGCTTTGAGGAAATAAAAGTGCTGATTTCCCCAATCCAGTCATGGTAAATGGACTTGTGCCAACACAATCTCTCTCTGGCCAGTCCTGGCTCGAGTGGTAGCTTTCCTCTTTAGAAAGCAATCACTGGTATCTAACAGCCTCACATTAATCATGAAGACTTTTCTTGCTTTTAGTTTCTCCTCCATGACTTGGTAAAGAACACTCAGTTACTGAGAAGCAATGCAGGGAAAAATATTAAAGAATGAAAATCTGAACAAAGGAGCACAGAGAAATACATTTGTAAGTTATGGAGTTAGAGTTTATACTTAGAATAATTTGGTGCTGTGCTATAGAATTAAACACATTTATTTAATTGTAAACCTTAGCCAGAGTTTATAAGTAAACTCAATGAACTGGAATTGTTTTTTAATGAGAAATTTAAAATGCCAGTTTGGATATGTGGTTCACATACGAAAAAATGTATTTCTCCTCCTAAACTGAAATGGCATCTATTTATCATCTTTCTTTCTTTTTTTAGTTAAACTATCTCCTTGACCTTCTGCATAATATAGAAGGTTATTAGATTATAATATTAAAGGAAAATGCCTTAAAATTGTATAGGACTTAAGAGCCTACTTGCTCGTTTGGAGAGGAAATCCACATTTCATTACAAGTAGAACATGAAAGCAATGGAGTACACTGACATTTTTTGGACTCTAATATGTACTGGGTGCCAGATGAGGAGTTTTCATGTGTAATACCTTAATTTAAGGTTTTGATAGATTCTTCAATTTCTGTCTTAGAATGAAGAAATCCAGAGTCTCTAGTCAGCTGGCCCAAATCACACTGTTAGTAACATCGGAGGTAGTAGGTAAACATGGCTGCACACGTGGATCTGTTACACTGG